CAATATCTGCTAACACTGTATTTTGATGATCACCCAACACACAGCAGACACAAGTACACATCAGCTCATTGTACTAACCCTAACCCCATGAACCCCCACCCCATACCCCCATTACTATATGAAGAAAATATACTACACATATATCCATTAAAGCTACAGAAGTTACGCCAGAAAAACCCCTGCTCTAATGAGTTAGTTGACATGTAGTTGCAAATTAATGCGAGTTAGTTGACATGTAGTTGGAAAGTTACTTACAGTTAACGGAATGTCTAAAGTGGACTACTGTAATAAAGCGTAACTTAAAGTGGTTTGCAACTTCCCTTTCATGCTGACTTTAAAGTCCGTGTAAAGGCAATTGAGATAATTGTTTATCAATGTGTTTAACACATTATAAATGTTAGAAATGTATTGCTGAAACACGTTACAAATACTGTGAACTATGTAGTACTAAATTGTGGAGTTAGACCGTTAAACAGCTTTTCACCATCTTTGTATTCAGGATTTTTTTGGGCGGGGCTGAAATCATGTCTCGATGACGCACTGGAGCCACTGAGCATGGCCCCTCCCCTAACACTGTAAGAGAAGTGTTCGGCTTGACATGGCACTGTGCAGATCGGTGTATGACATCAAAGAACCGCGAGAGCGATTCAAAAGCATGCAGAGTCATCTGTTCTCTAATAGCTCTCACGGTACTTTGATGTCATACACCAATCTGTCTGCGCAGCGCTGCCTGAAGTCGAACACAACTAATAACTAGAGTGGATTGGCATCAGTGGTTCACCCGCTCAATTGTGAGTAAGTCATTAGCATTAGTTACTACAGCCCAGTTTGCTAGCTAGCTATGCCTTCATCACGTAATGTATGGGTGTGTAAATCCAAATAAGCTGCTAGATAGAGCATCCATTCAGGTTGTAGTGGTATTTGACAGTTGAGAGAGACGACAGCTTTCCCGCGAGTGGGCGTGGTTTCAGCGCCGAACACAGACATGCCCCCAGTGTTTGAGAGTGGAGAATACTGCTTATTTTTTCAAGATTTTGATAACTTATTTTATTTACTTGCCATTTTTTTTCATTCAGATTTGGCTGGGTGGTTAATACATTTTTCTGTGGTGTGACAAACTCATAACACATATTTAATATTGCTTTACACGGACTTAACAAACAAACAAAAAAAAATAGTTCAACACAACAGTGATATTTTCTTACCTCATTTTGATGGGGCATAGGGTTGAACCCACACAAGTTACATACGATATTTTTGCATTCAGTGCAGCTGTTGTATTGATCTTTCTTGAGCTCCACCTTGCAGAGTGGGCAGACCTTGGGAAGAGGCTTGGATATAGGTGTTTCTTTATCCTGTTTCACTTTATTTGATGGCTCCTCAGCCTGTTGAAGCAATGGTGTCTTCTCCTCTTGTTTCTGTTCAGTTGATGGTTTAGTATCTTTACTAGGTTGAGCCTTCTGAGAACCTTGTGTGGTTTCAGAACCTTGTTGTGAGCTAGGTGATGTTGTGTTGTTGTTGAACAATGACTGAGATACTGTAGAGCCTTTACGGGAGCGGGGAGGAGGTGTTGTTTCTAAAACTGACGAACCTTTGTGGGAGGTTGGTGGTGTTGTGGAAGGTTCATCCTGAACAGCTGAAGATATCAGATTAGAAGCTGTGCTAAGGAAGGAGGAACCAAAGCCTAAAACTTTGCCAGACACAATAGAAACAGCAGGCTGAGGTGAAGGAGACCTAGATCGAGCCCCGCCAAAGCCAAAACCAAAAAATCCAGACTGCTCTTGATTAGGCTCAGCCTTTGGTGGCTTGGATTGTTTTTCTTGAGGCTTGTCCGATTTCATCTGCTGTGAGGTCTTCAGTTGACTGAGCTGTTGTGGTGTCACATCAGTTGGCCAATATCTGCTAACACTGTATTTTGATGATCACCCAACACACAGCAGACACAAGTACACATCAGCTCATTGTACTAACCCTAACCCCATGAACCCCCACCCCATACCCCCATTACTATATGAAGAAAATATACTACACATATATCCATTAAAGCTACAGAAGTTACGCCAGAAAAACCCCTGCTCTAATGAGTTAGTTGACATGTAGTTGCAAATTAATGCGAGTTAGTTGACATGTAGTTGGAAAGTTACTTACAGTTAACGGAATGTCTAAAGTGGACTACTGTAATAAAGCGTAACTTAAAGTGGTTTGCAACTTCCCTTTCATGCTGACTTTAAAGTCCGTGTAAAGGCAATTGAGATAATTGTTTATCAATGTGTTTAACACATTATAAATGTTAGAAATGTATTGCTGAAACACGTTACAAATACTGTGAACTATGTAGTACTAAATTGTGGAGTTAGACCGTTAAACAGCTTTTCACCATCTTTGTATTCAGGATTTTTTTGGGCGGGGCTGAAATCATGTCTCGATGACGCACTGGAGCCACTGAGCATGGCCCCTCCCCTAACACTGTAAGAGAAGTGTTCGGCTTGACATGGCACTGTGCAGATCGGTGTATGACATCAAAGAACCGCGAGAGCGATTCAAAAGCATGCAGAGTCATCTGTTCTCTAATAGCTCTCACGGTACTTTGATGTCATACACCAATCTGTCTGCGCAGCGCTGCCTGAAGTCGAACACAACTAATAACTAGAGTGGATTGGCATCAGTGGTTCACCCGCTCAATTGTGAGTAAGTCATTAGCATTAGTTACTACAGCCCAGTTTGCTAGCTAGCTATGCCTTCATCACGTAATGTATGGGTGTGTAAATCCAAATAAGCTGCTAGATAGAGCATCCATTCAGGTTGTAGTGGTATTTGACAGTTGAGAGAGACGACAGCTTTCCCGCGAGTGGGCGTGGTTTCAGCGCCGAACACAGACATGCCCCCAGTGTTTGAGAGTGGAGAATACTGCTTATTTTTTCAAGATTTTGATAACTTATTTTATTTACTTGCCATTTTTTTTCATTCAGATTTGGCTGGGTGGTTAATACATTTTTCTGTGGTGTGACAAACTCATAACACATATTTAATATTGCTTTACACGGACTTAACAAACAAACAAAAAAAAATAGTTCAACACAACAGTGATATTTTCTTACCTCATTTTGATGGGGCATAGGGTTGAACCCACACAAGTTACATACGATATTTTTGCATTCAGTGCAGCTGTTGTATTGATCTTTCTTGAGCTCCACCTTGCAGAGTGGGCAGACCTTGGGAAGAGGCTTGGATATAGGTGTTTCTTTATCCTGTTTCACTTTATTTGATGGCTCCTCAGCCTGTTGAAGCAATGGTGTCTTCTCCTCTTGTTTCTGTTCAGTTGATGGTTTAGTATCTTTACTAGGTTGAGCCTTCTGAGAACCTTGTGTGGTTTCAGAACCTTGTTGTGAGCTAGGTGATGTTGTGTTGTTGTTGAACAATGACTGAGATACTGTAGAGCCTTTACGGGAGCGGGGAGGAGGTGTTGTTTCTAAAACTGACGAACCTTTGTGGGAGGTTGGTGGTGTTGTGGAAGGTTCATCCTGAACAGCTGAAGATATCAGATTAGAAGCTGTGCTAAGGAAGGAGGAACCAAAGCCTAAAACTTTGCCAGACACAATAGAAACAGCAGGCTGAGGTGAAGGAGACCTAGATCGAGCCCCGCCAAAGCCAAAACCAAAAAATCCAGACTGCTCTTGATTAGGCTCAGCCTTTGGTGGCTTGGATTGTTTTTCTTGAGGCTTGTCCGATTTCATCTGCTGTGAGGTCTTCAGTTGACTGAGCTGTTGTGGTGTCACATCAGTTGGCTCCTTTCCCCCAACTACAGCTGTTTTCTGACCAGTATTGGTGGCTTCCTCTGTGTTTTGGTTCTTCTGCGCAGTTTCTGGAACATCTTGCTCCTTCTTCTTTGGCACTGGGGCTACTTTCTTAGCTTGATATTGAGGCTCTGCATGGGAAGGGACTGATGCTCGCTGCACTTGACAGGTTAAGCAAAGCCACTCCTTTGCCTGCCAACAAATGAGAGAGTTTGAGAAACCCCAGACAAAATGGTTTCCTACATAGCATTATCATTCTACAGCTAATTCAGCAATATTGCTATCAAAAGTATTTTTTACTGAAGGTAAATAAAGTATAGCCCACAGCTCATTTTGCAAATACTGAATTATCTTACCTTGATTTGATGAGGCATGAGAAACCCACAGAGGTTACATACAATGCTCTTGCATTCAGTGCAGGTGTTGAAGTTAGGAGGATCTTTCTTGAGCTCCACTTTGCAAAGTGGGCATTCTTTAGGGAGAGACTGAGAGGACATATTAACTGCTTGAAGCTTTGATGGCAGTTTAGATGGTGATTTGAAAGGCTGAGACTGTAAGGGCTCCTTGTCTTCCAATTGCTTTTGAGACAGAGGTTTATTTTCCCCAACCTGTATTTTTGTTGTGTCCTGGGATGCTGTGGATCCCTTATGGGATGTAGCTGCTGCTGCCACAGCAGATGTGGTTTTGAGAGATGTCTGTGAAACCGATGAACCCTTACGAGAGGTGGGCGGCGTTGTAGACTTCACTGAGGTCTGGGAAACTGTTGAACCTTTACGAGGTGTTGGCGGTGTTGTGGAGGATTCATCTTCAACTACCGAAGATATGAGATTAGATGCTGAGCTGAGGAACGAGGAGCCAAAGCCTAGAACTTTCTCCGAGACAATAGGTTGAGGAGAAGGTGATCGAGATCGAGCACCACCAAAACCAAAGCCAAAGAAACCTGTATCTTTTTTGGAGGAATCTGATTGTGATGTTGTTTCGGATTTGGCTGGAGCACTACTATCTTTTGGCTCTTGAGATTTTATAGTTTCTTTCTGTGCAGGTTTTTCCTTTGGAAGATTTTGTATTGTAGATATAGTAGTGGGTTTTCCAAGTGCTGTTTTTGACTGGTCCTCAGTTCTACTGGGTTCTGGAGGAGGCTGATGTGGAGCTGTTTTGTCTTGTTGTGAGCCAGCATTAATCTGCAGCTGGGGATTTAGACTTGAAGGTTCAGGTGCTCTCTTTATCAGGCAACTCAAACAGAGCCATTCCTTCACCTGCATGACCAAAATCACAACCACAAATCAACATGACTGTCCTTCAATAAATCAATTATGACCAGTAGAGTAAAATAAACTCTTTCTCTTACCTCTATCTCATGAGGCATGGGGTTAAATCCACAATGGTTACACACAATGTTTTTGCAATCGGTGCAGGTGTTGAAATTAGGAGGATCACTGGTAATATCTGCCTTACAAAGAGGACAGATTTTGGGAAGAGGCAGGGGAGTTTTGTCAACTTTTGCAGACAATGTATGGTCTATTTTTGCTTTCACAGAAGATTTACTTGCTAGCTGAGGTGACTCAGACATCTTTTTCTCTTGTTTTTGTGCAGTAGGTTGTTTAGTATCCCCTGTGTTTATGGTCTGTGGAACAGCAGAGCTCTTCCGAGATGTGGGTGGTGTTGAGTTCTGGGAAACTGTGGAAGCTTTGCGGGAGGTTGGTGGTGTTGTAGAGGTCTCATCTTGCACAGCTGAGGATATTAAATTAGATGCTGAGCTGAGAAAGGAGGAACCAAAGCCAAGAACCTTCCCAGATACAGCAGACATAGCAGGCTGAGGAGATGGAGACCTTGACCTAGCACCACAAAAACCAAGCAATCCAGATTCTTCCTTGGCTGTCTTGGCAGGAACTTCAGATTTTACTTCATTTTCTTGCTGCTGGGCTTTTTGGATTGGTAGAGTACCATTTGGAGCCTTGGTTTGTTGTTCTTGTAATTTCTGAGGAGGGTCAGTTTTCTTGCCTAACTTTTCCAATTCAGAAACACCTTTCTTTTGAATTGAGGGTGAAGCCAATGGTTGAGTGGTAGGGATTTTGTTGGGCTGCGCTGCAGTCTCCAACTTTGGAGGTCCTGGTGGCTCCATTCCTCTTAGAGCTCTTTGAGTCTGACAGTTTAGACAAAGCCATTCTTTCAACTGAAAAGTAAGACAAATTGGTTAACTCATGTTAACATATATCATTCAAAACTTGTAAAAAGCATTAAAAGTCAACATAACATTACCTCAGTTTGATGCGGTGTTGGGTTGAATCCACAGAGATTGCAAACAGTGTTTTTGCACTCAGTACAAGTGTTGTAGTTGGCAAGGTCCTTTTGGATTTGTACCTTGCAGAGTGGGCAGGATTTGGGCAAGGTTTGAGGGCCTTTGTCTGCATTTGGCATCTGTGAAGAAGGTTCAGCTTTTTTAATTTGATATACTGGTGCTTTGTTCTTTTGGTCAGCAGTTAGCTCTGTCTTTTTTTCTTCTTTCTGACCATCTGATTGATTAGCCTTTCCTGTAGACGCTGATAAGGCAGCCCCTTGCGATGTTGCAGACCCTTTGTGAGATGTTGGCGGAGTAGTAGTCTTGAGGAACGTTTGAGAGACTGAAGGTGTCGTAGAAGGTTCATCTTGAACCGCTGATGAAATGAGATTAGATGCTGAGCTCAGGAAGGACGACCCAAATCCTAGAACTTTACCAGACATAGCCGAAACAGCGGGCTGAGGGGATGGTGATCGTGACCGGGCTCCACCAAAGCCTGAAAAGCCAAAAAATCCTGACTGTTCTTGCTCAGTATAAGTCTGTGGTGCTGCTTTAGACACAGGAGGAGAGGGGGAATTTTTTGCTGTCGGTTGCTGTAAAGCCATAGGGGAGAGAGCTTGCTTTGCTCCTGCTGCACCAGTCTGTTGTTCATGCATCTTTTTCTGAGCAGCAGGTTGGTTGGCAGAACTAGTCTTTGTTGGCTGAGCCGTGGGCTGTTTCTCTAAAGGACCATGTGTAGATTCCATCTTTTGAGATTTGCTGGGCTGTGTTTGGGACTTTATTGTGGGTTGTCCGGCAGGCTCTATTCCTTTCAGTGCTCTCTGTGTCTGGCAGTTTAAGCAAAGCCACTCTTTTGCCTGCAAAAACATTACAATTATCATGAGTAACTTCTCCACATTTTTCTTTTTCAACATTAATAACAAACGATTAAAAAAAATACTTCACAGGACTTGTGTAAATTGACCTCACAAGCAGATATCATAACATTACTACTTGTGGCTTTAAATAAATATATTAAAACCCTCAGTGACCCTAGCATTTGTGAAATGTTCTCTTTTTGGACTTGATTTTAGTGACTGATTACAATAAAAACAAGAAAATTGGTCTGCACTCTGTCAATGTATATTTATTCTTAATATCAATATTTAAATAGTACAAACAAATGATAAAACCCATGATGTGTATTATGTTTTGTTTTGGCAACTTAGAAAAATGTTGTAAATGCTTTCTTGAGAATCCTTCCCAGCAAGCTGAAATTTGAATATGCTCATGTCAGAGCAGCCCTTACAATTATAGAACTCTCAACTATAGAGTTTCATGACCCTGGGATACTCTTACACATCACAGACAACGATAAAGTATACTGATAATGCATATTCTGCCAGAGGCCTACAGGACTACTTTTATAAACACATTCCAAGCTAGAAGGATGAAACCTCAGTATGCTCATCTCACACCAGCCCTAAGATACTCTTAAATGTTTTATTATCCTGAAAAGGTATGTTTTAGAGCCATACAGTGCAGTCTCTCTGACTTTCCTGTAAGCTAGAAGGCTGAAACAAATATTTTCATATCATGTCCCATTATGCTACACTGGAAATCATGTGAAATATTTATCAATGGGTCAATGGTCTCTTTTGTGTTACAAACAACAATACAACCATAAAATGTGGATTACTAAGGCTAACTGTAGTATTTGTGTAACATTCAGAGAAATTGTATTATTTGCATAAGCTTATATATACACACATAAGGCCTCATTCATGAAACACGAGCAGAACTAATTTTTGTGTAAATCGTTCGTAAAGCTGTTCTGACGTAAATTTTGGGATTCATGAAAGTGTTCGTATTTTACAAATGTTAGTTGGTACACAAAAAGTTTACACCTGCTCCCAGCCCCACATAAATGGGTTGTAAATCATCCGAACATCATTGATGGCGCTGCATGTTTATAAAACTATTTACCTTACATAATCACGTATCACGCAGCATTTTGATAAAATAATATACAGTAATTATACACAGTATACTGTATTTTCCTTTTTACTATTATTATGAACAGCAGTAATATAATCTGCAAATGTAACACTTTTATCAAATAATTAATTAGCTACTTTTGTTAGGGATGTACCAATTAGTCTACTAATTATTACGGAAATGGTTTTCTATAAAATGGCAAGAATGAGGTTTAACAATAAACATTTCCTATGGCTGATATAGAGCTATTGCTAGATTTGGCAGACAGAGCGCTGCACAAAATACATATTTCTAGAGACCATGCAGACTTAGCCTACTTGCAGAGAATGATGACTGGTTGATTAACAGATGAAACTGCATTAACAGCATTTGTAATGTGCTGCCAAGCTTCCTTGACATGACTGTAGTATTTGTGTAACATTCAGAGAAATTGTATTATTTGCATAAGCTTATATATACACACATAAGGCCTCATTCATGAAACACGAGCAGAACTAATTTTTGTGTAAATCGTTCGTAAAGCTGTTCTGACGTAAATTTTGGGATTCATGAAAGTGTTCGTATTTTACAAATGTTAGTTGGTACACAAAAAGTTTACACCTGCTCCCAGCCCCACATAAATGGGTTGTAAATCATCCGAACATCATTGATGGCGCTGCATGTTTATAAAACTATTTACCTTACATAATCACGTATCACGCAGCATTTTGATAAAATAATATACAGTAATTATACACAGTATACTGTATTTTCCTTTTTACTATTATTATGAACAGCAGTAATATAATCTGCAAATGTAACACTTTTATCAAATAATTAATTAGCTACTTTTGTTAGGGATGTACCAATTAGTCTACTAATTATTACGGAAATGGTTTTCTATAAAATGGCAAGAATGAGGTTTAACAATAAACATTTCCTATGGCTGATATAGAGCTATTGCTAGATTTGGCAGACAGAGCGCTGCACAAAATACATATTTCTAGAGACCATGCAGACTTAGCCTACTTGCAGAGAATGATGACTGGTTGATTAACAGATGAAACTGCATTAACAGCATCTGTAATGTGCTGCCAAGCTTCCTTTTTTTAGGACATGATACTCCACTATGTACGCTTGAAAATAAAATGCTGCGTTTTGAATGCACTTCCGATAACAAAATTTCAATTTCTGCGCCTGATAAATTTGTATTTTTCATTCGCTTTTGAGAGGACATGATGAAATCCTTATTTTCGTTTTAAAATATGATGCCCATATATAGTTGTCAGTCAGAATTCATGGGCAGGGATTATGGTAATTATGAATGAGCGTGCACACTCGCCCCATTTACGAATGTTTGGAATTCATTAAAGGGGTCATAGGATGCCCATTTTCCACAAGTTGATATGATTCTTTAGGGTCTTAATGAAAAGTCTGTAACATAGTTTGGTTAACATTTCTCAATGGTCGTGTAAAAAAACACTTTTTTACCCTGTCAAAAAACAGCACTTTTCAGATCAAGTCGTTTTTGTAGCATTTTTGGAGGGGCCTGTCTGTGTGACGTCACACAGACAGGCATCTGAGAGCGGCTCGATTTGAGAAAGCGGAAAACATTTAACGAGATTAAAACAAAACCACTGGGTGGATTTTTATCATTATAGGGTGGTTGTGTACACACACTGCCAACACACATTTCAGTTCAAACAACTTGTAAAAGTGCATGTAGCATCCTATGACCCCTTTTTAACATACATGTTTAACTATCAAATCTGATGTTTTTACGAATCATTTGTGAATCCGGAAAAGAGTTTTCGGGAAGGTCTGTTTTACGTGCAAATTACTCTGAATTTACTCATATATTTACTCAAGTTTCATGAATGAGGCCCATACTGTGCACATAAAAAAATCACAAGTTAAATATTACAGAAAGATTGCTTCTAAAATTTGATCAAAAACAGCTTACACTGTTGTCAGTAGGCAGTGACAGCACTGTGTTACTTTGGCATGCAGGGAAAATAAATCTGCAAATGTTCCTTCATGCCACAATTTTTATAATACATTCCAGAGTGTGAGCTAGCGTTAAATATGTATTAACTGTTTTTAACATCTTTTGTTAGTTTTTTGCAATTTTGCTACAATGGGTTAAAATAATTCCCCTCTGTATCTCAAAGTTTTATTTATATTTGTGCTGCCTGTGCAATTCTCAAGCTCACAGCTCATCCTGAAATCTACATTTAATCTCTGGAGAAAGCCAGCAGCACTCTTTTTAGACCTAAGGAAACAGACTAAATCATTTAGATAATTTTAGCATGGGATAAAAATATACACAGATGTGTTACATTTGCTAATTCTCTAGACTTAAGGCAATTCCCAGGTTTTAATATTTCATGATTAAACACCAACCACACAGTTGTGGCCATGAATGAAGGTGACCTTCATATCTGAGACATATTTTTTTCCACTATTATCTCATTTCAACAACCTGCACTTGACACTGAGCACAACCGAGTAGCAGATGCCACTGTAATCTACACCTCATCTCTGTGCTTTTGAACTCTCTTGGAAAAGTCTTAGATGTTATCTCCGAGGACTACCCACTGATCCTCTGCCTCTACCACACAGCCGGCCCATGTGACCCAATAGCCTTGGAGTCTCCTAGCCAGACTGCATGTAAACTCTGAACGGTTAATTACAGAGTCAAGTGTCTTTTGTGCTCAACACATCTTAAAAGATGAAATGGCCATTTAGGGGGCAAACTGGTATGCTCGGGGCTTCCAGTTGATGACAATAGAGGTGGTAAGGGCTCTCTAGGAGACATACATTATTACAGCAGCTTCACTGCTAAGACTAAGCACATGACACATTGCTTGCCTCAACTATACTGGTATACTGGTACTGGTACTCAACTATAACACCTCATGGCCAAGATACAAAAGTTGGTCTGTGTTTTGGAAAATCTATAGTTGCAAACACAAACATTATTCACACTAGAAACAGACATGATTTTTGTAAAAATGTGTATGTGTATGGCCTCAAAAGAAAATGGTATTCCAAATAAAAACTTGACTTGACAAAACAGTGAAAGAAAATTAAAAAAGGACCATCTATAATTGAAAACTAACTTACAAACAAAATAAGGTCATGTGAAAAGGGAAACCAGCGACAGTGGTGAGAAGTCTTAAAAATAAAAGTCATGAATTCACTAGGACTTCAAAATAAAATACACAAATGACACTAAGGCATGAAAACCAAGACCAACAAAATGGTTACGATGAAACAGTATATCTAACAACTTCTGTTATGAGAGGAAAATCATATTTCCCCTTGTATCAAAAACAGACAACACTAAAGCCCACAAGATCATGAATGAACCTCTCTTGATGGCTTTGCTGGGTCTGGAAAGTGGCTAAAGGCAACAGACTGCGTGGAAAGCTCATAGGTAAAATAGTCAAGCCACTAACTGCAATGTTTGACCCAGATCAATCATTAAATAACACAGGTCCCTAAGCACAGAATGTATATTCATTCATAATATATATTTATCACCAAAGCCCTAATGGATACAGTATGTGAATCACTCTAATGCATTACTACAGGGGTTCTCAAACCTCTCCATGAAGTACTCCCAGCACTGCACCTTTTGTATGTCTCCCTATATCTGATACACCACTTCAGGTCTTGCAGTCCCCACTAACGAGCTGATGAGTTGAATCAGGTGTGATAGATGAGGGAGACATACAGAATGTGGAGGGCAGGGGGTACTCCAGGACAGGTGTGAGAACCACTGCATTACTAAAAAGGGAAGAAACAGTGTGAAACTGCACATTGATGTTTTCTTTTTTTTGCCTTGAGAGTCAAGCACTTTATTTTTGTAAGTTTAGGTAGGGAGTAGTCTGAGTTAATTGAGAATCAAGGCACATTTTGTCTTTCTCACAGCCATTTTCGGTCTGCCTTCCACAAGACTGCCTCCACACAAACCAAAGAGACTAGAAAATACATCCATCTTTTACAACAGAATCACTGACATGGCCTCTGAAACAGTTCATTGCACAAACCAAAAAGTGAACCTACTGCAAGAAAATGCATTCATCTGTTTCTTACCTCTGTTTGATGAGGCACAGGATTAAATCCACACTGATTACACACAGTGGCCTTGCATTCAGTGCAGGTACTATAGTTAGGAGGATCTCTTCTCAGGCTTGCCTTGCAGAGTGGACAGGCTTTGGGAAGAAGTTTCGGGCTTTGATCCAATTTAGTAGCCTGAGCAGATGAGGATTCCTTTGTTGTCGTTGTTTTTTGAGTGTCTTGGGGTTTATTTTGTTGCTGTTGCCTTTTTCCCTCCTGTGTCTGTGATTTAGGAACATTGGGGGAGCCCTTAGAGGCCTCTGAGCCTTTTCTTGAGGAAGGGGGTGTGGTGTTCTTGGCAGAGGTTTGGGAAACAGTGGAACCCTTGGTTGGTGGGGTCGTGGAGGGCTCATCCTGGACAGCTGAAATCAAATTGGATGCTGAGCTAAGAAACGAAGAACCAAAGCCTAGAACCTTTCCAGAAACAGAAGAGGCACCAGGCTGTGGAGAAGGAGAGCGGGATCGAGCACCACCGAAACCGAAACCAAAGAAACTGGACTCTTCTTCTTTTTTAGGGGGCTCAGTCTTTGATGGTATCTCAGTTTTGGCAGGAGGAGCACCTTTTGTTGTCTGATGTGGAAGAGGTTTTTGTTGTGACGTTTGCTGCGACGGATGAGTTGCACTTGTGCTGGACTGGCTTGACAGTTTCTGACCCTCTGTTGGTTTGGTTGGCTGGCTGGCAGATGACGGCATCTGCTTACTATGAAGAGTGTCTTTCTTTGCAGGGTTCTGTGATGGTACGGAGTCCTTGGGCTGGGGCTGGGCTTTTAGTGTAGGAGGTCCGCTGTTCTCTGCCCCTCCAAGAGCTCTCTGCATCTGGCAATTCAGGCAGAGCCACTCCTTAACCTGCGTACATGGAGAATACACATTTATGTTATACAATTGCTAGTTTTTAACTTAACAAAAATGAAAATGAATCAGTTGTTCTGCATTTTTACCAACAGAAAGACAATTTATACAGTGAAAAATGTCTTCTGAGGAATTAGCATTACTTATTCATGGTTGCATCGGTAAAAACTAAATTTACTACTTTAGCGAATGGTGATAAATAATTGTGAAAAATATGAGCTTCTGGGGGGAAAAACTCTTCTTCAAGGAATTAAAACCATCACAGTCCAATACAACATGCTTCAGAGACAGTGGACTTCTGGATTGAAATACATAACGTTGGATCTTTACCTGATAGTAAAAAGTGACATGTAAATCTAGAGAGGTCTATTCAGCAACTGATATTGATAAAGATCTTGTTTCTTTTCCTTTTTAATTTTTTCCTTGTTTCTTTTCCTTTTTAATAAAAAAAACTAAAAATACTTAAAATGAGGCATGAATATTGTATGCTACTGCTTTATGTATCATGCTAATTACAGATAAAAACTAAATGAGTTAGGGATTTGTACTCACGGTTGCATCTGGAGGACTGAACCCACACATGTTGCAGACCACTGATTTACATTGTGTGCAGGTGTTATGGTTGGGCGAATCCTTGAATTTAAGATTAAGTTCTGTATTTTTACAGACTGGACAGAGGGATTTCACCCAAGCTCCAGATCCACCTTTCACCTGAGGCTCTGCTGAAGGAGGCCTTGAGCCAACTGCACCTCCTGGATGAGACCCAGGTCCACTTGGGCCTTGTTGTTGAGGTCCACCCTTCCCAACACCCTGCTTAGGGGATCCACCCCCACTTGCTCCTTGTTGCAATCCTCCCCTGCCCCCTCCCTGATGTGGATGATCTCCTCTCCCAGTTCCTTGCTGTACAGGACTTCCCCGACCAGCTCCTTGTGGTTGAGATCCATCCCGTCCAGCTCCTTGGCCTCCCCTTCCCACACCCCGTGTCTGCTGTCCACTTTGCCTCTGAGGCCCCTGTGAGGCAGGTTGGCCATTCCCCTGCTGTTGAGGATCCTTCTGCTTTGAGGGTCCTGGAGGCTGCTGTTGTTGCTTTTCCTCCTCATCCCCAAAATGACTGAACTTGTTTACAGCAGAGGACATTGCACTTAGAGGATTCCCCCCACTCAGAAAGTTGGAGGAGAACATGTTGGCAGTTGGGAATGGGGCTCTGAAGACTGGTGTTGGAGAGGGCTGGGATGGGAGGAGCCCAGTGGAGGGATTCTCTCACCAGTTGCAGTTATCCCTCACATCTACCTCCAGTGTCCCTTAGGAAATAGAAAATGGACAAAGAAAAGAGAGAATTCACACATTACTTGTGTTTTTAATGAATGCATATATATGTGCATGCATTAAACATCAAGTAATACCATATACATGATAATATTAAAATATTAATAGTTCCAGACTCAAAACATAAACAAAAGGATGCGATACCATGGTACAAATTTAAATATCTCAGAAATGCTTTATATTCTGCATAAGGCAAAATGAGATAAATGAGAATAGTACTTTGACTGAAAGTATTGCTATTTAGCCAAGTCGTCTTCAAAGCAGGTAAAAACCTAATTTATGCAAGAGTGGTACATAAAATAAACAAAAACATTTTAAACAAACAGTTATCAACTTCATAATCGGTCACTGACATGTAGAGGTTGTAGACTGTAGATGATCAATATCGCACTGTCACGCAGTAATCACAGACACATAACATCCAGTCATATGGTAAATAAAAGAGCTAACAGTGAGGGATAGAGGTTCCCTTACTGCCCTGATCATCATGCATTCCCCTTTTACATAATCTAAACCTATTTTAATCATCACTTTTTCATTATTATGCATTTTGCATGATCTTATATTACCTGGTGTTCTGAATTACATTGCACTGGAATGCATAAAATATCGACGACATATCTGTTATAGACCATACTATGAAAATAAGTATTGCCTAAAAAGTTGATAAAAAACAGTTCATGTCCATGATATTTGATAACTACAATCCAAATTATGAGTTCGATTCTGCCGTTACAGAGTCAAAACTAATGACAATTTGGCAAAGACAATTTTACTACACATATTGTTTATCACCATGTGAAATACAGATTATATAAACATCTAGCATGAATATGCAACAGTGATGAAACACTGAAAATCTCGTGTAAATCATGACTGCATTCGCCCTGTGATTGACTGTGCGTTTGGACATTTCCCTTCAGCACCCTGGACAGCTCTCTACACTCAGCTCATGCATCGCGTAATTCTATGCGGACACATTTATGACGAGGAACTTTAAAGGGTCAGTGGGTACTCTGTGTGTATTTATTCGCAAATGTATAAATGTTTTTCAGTATACCGCGTGCCATCAAAATTATATCCACATTGGCGATCATTAACCTGATATCAACGTTAAATAGTCACGCTGTGTTCTTCTAACAGCCTACAAACATATATTGACAGATTAAGTTTTTTTTCCTGCTTCTGCTGCTTCAAAAGCAACATCTATAGCCCGTTTACAGAAATCCTCCGTCGGCATATCCGGGTTGTAAAACCTCCGCTGCATGTGTTAAACACAAATTGGTTTACAACATTATGTTAAAGAACACTTAATGTTTCGTTGGGACTGGCAGTCTTAGTCACAAAATATAAGGATACGTTTTTACTCCAATTTACCAAAAAAAAAAAAAAACAAAACACTATAATA